CCCCCCCCCCCCCCCCCCCAAAAAAACGCCCCGCTAGCATGGAAAGAAAGATACGGCGTGCGGTGTAGAGGTTAGATAGAATACTGGAAACGGCAATGGTGCATTTGCAGGTCTGCTTGTGCACAATAAGATACCTTATGTAGAAGAAAAAAGAAAAAAGAAAAAAGAAAAAAGAAAAAAGAAAAAAGAAAAAAGAAAAAAGAAAAAAGAAAAAAGAAAAAAGAAAAAAGAAAAGAAAAAAAAAAAGAAGAAGAAGAGAGAGTAGCGAGTGTAAAAGATAATGTTCTTTTCTTCTTCGCATCTATCGCGCTTGGCCCTCTATTCATACACCCCACACCACACACCCCCGCTGTATCTAGCACCCCCAAACCAGACTCTCCTTATCTATCTATCAAGTCACAATATAGAAACGTTCTATCGACGTCCATCTCCGTGCTCGCCGAGAATAAGCACCAGGAGAAGGTAAAAGACGAACAGAACAGAAAGGCAACGCTCCGCATCCCACACGCCCCACACTTAGGTTGCCCCAATATCTTGTCTACAGCCAGAATCTAGATATATAGCCTCGCATGGTGTACCGCTCGCACCATCCCCGGTTCCCCTCCGTCGGAAACCCAAGAGAAGCTAAATCAAGACAAGGAAACCTTTTCGCTAAAAATACTAGAAGGAAAACAGGCAAAAAACACCGAGAACACATAAAAACCCACACAAGGAAAGGAACGAAAAAAGGAAGAGAAAAAAATACCGCCGGAAATCCCGTACCTGCAACCACCACACACATCCGGTAATACAAAGTAAGAGAGGCGTGATCAAGAAGTCGAATCACGCCGCACCATTCGCTTTCCGCGCCACCTCTGCCCCGAGCTGGCCCTTCATCGTCACCCGCTTCTTATACATCTCTACCCTACTGCGCACAGGGAAATCATCCTGCCTCTTCGCCGGCTGACCGACCTTCGGATCGAACGCGCTTCCCGGGCCGAAATCCGGCACGCCACCCAAGGTGCCAAAAATGTCGCCGATGTAGTTCTTCGGCTTGACGCCCTTCTCAAACGTTGTTCGCCACCCGCTCAAGATCCCCTTGATGACGGGCGTACCAGCAAGATAGATGTTCTGCACGGCAGGTTCGAAAGCGCCTTGCCGCGAATAGAACAGGTTGCCCTCGACGGATTGGCCGGGGTACGGGCGGTCGAAGTTCGCAGCCGTACGCATGATGATTATGCGCGAGAAGTCGATGGTCTTATGCACAGCGGCGCGGATCATGGCTTCGAGGGTGGCGTTGTCCTCTTGGGCGGTCATGCAGTAGGTGGCGCTGCCGTTCGTAAACAGCGACGTGGTGTTTTCGAAGGCCTCGCCGAGGAGGGTGCCGGAGTAGTAGACGTCGGATGTTGCAGTGTCGCACTTGATGATGCCCGGGGCCCTGGTGGCCGCAGCGTAAAGGGTAGCATTGGAGGGAGCAGGTCTCGCGAAGTTTTTGCGGTAGATGATGGCATCGCTACTGTCGTCGAGCTTGGCCGTGCGGGCGAATTGGGCGGCGACGTCACGCAGGGCTTCGTTGACTTCGAAGACTTCGGTGCCGTAGATGCTGAGAGGGTACTGGTCTGGGGCAAAAGAGCCTTGGGGAATGTAGCCCGTGCTGTAGTTGGAGGGGATCTCGCGCGCGTCGAACTCGTATTGCAGAGCCACCTGGACAGTGTACTTGGAAAACGCAACATCGCAGATGGTGCCGTGTCTGGGGTTGATACCCGCAATGCCACCGACTAGGAAGTACGTCTTCTTGAGGTTGAAGAGAGGAGTGAGCATGAGGGCGGTGATTGTGGCCGCAGCGTTGATCTCCGACTCGCCGGTGGTGATTTGGCAGACGGACCCATCTGCCAGACAATGTACGTCGGCGAATAGAGGAGACAGGCCGGGAACGGTGACGTTGACTGCAAGAAGGTCGCCAATAGAGCCGGCCGTGTTGGCGTTGGTGTACCAGATATCTGCTTCCGGGGAGAACTGTGACTGTTAGAAATCGACATCACGGGAACGAAGATGGCTCACCATAGAGATAATGAATACTTTAGGAGTAATCAGTTTGGCGTTCTTGTAGATGACGGTGATATCTCTCGAGCCGACCATATGATCCGGACTGCGTCTTTCGACTTGTGCCGGTATCGCAGCTACGAATGCGAACACGAATGTACCAGCTCCGAGGAGGCCGGTTAAAGTTGTGATTCTCATCTTAGGGACTCGGGAGGTTGTGAAAGACCCAAGTGGGTATTGACGAGGAAGGGCTGTGGTTGGTCGTAGTTGTGATTGTGATTGGGGTTATATGTAAAGAAGAAAGTGACTTGACTTGACTTGAATTGACTTGACGTCGAAGCTCTTCATAAGCTTCTAGAAGGGAGCGTGTCCTGTCGGGGTTGTGATTGTATCAGGGCAGCCGAGATTGAAAAAAATCAGACGTCAATATGTGGGCAATGATGGACATAAGTATATCCGTACGCAGCTAGCGTAGCGGGCAGGAATGACTTTGATCCTTCAGAGAGAAGTAAGAAGAAGTAAGCAAAAAAGTCACTGACTCTCAATATCACTCTCACTCCCAATCTCACTCTCGATGCAACTCTCCCGGTCTCCGAACAGAAGAAATGCCACGGTGGTCGCCGACAGCCGCAGCTTAAACCCAATACGATCGCATGCGCCGCTAGTACAACCGACTAAAAATAAACATGAAGGGGAACCGGAGACAACAGAACAGATCGATTCGAACGGATTGCGTTGCAACCATCGATGCAGCTTGCTGGCATCGTTCGGTTCTGTTCTGTTCCGTTCCGCAGCGCCGGGCTGGGATATCCGTCCTCGGATCTCGATCATCAAATCACCACATTCTCACCGACGTCGGACAGCAGGCAGGCACTTTGGTTGCTGGGACTCTGCGGGCATGGGACTAGCACTTGCTGGGTTGCTGGGACGAACGGTATGACGGCGTACCAGATACGGGAACGGATAGATGAATAGGTACCAGTCAGTTAGTCAGTCAGCCAGCCATTCAGTATCTTGGACCGGCAAGCTGCATGCACACGGTTGAGCACCCATGAAAGGTCCAGTTGCGCCGCAGCTGATCGTCATGACGATCTGCGGCTGCATCGATATCGAAGGATTCTGTGTCGCGATCGCGGTGACTGTAGCCGTAGCCGTAGCTGAGATCAGATGTTACCCACGTCGTTCCGTTTAGTATATACGAAGTCGGGATGTTGAAGTTGAAGTTGATGTTGATGTTGTCACGGTCGTCGTCGTTGGGAAATTCCAAGTGCCAAGTGCCAAGCGACCAGGCCAGCTCAGATCAGGTGCAAGCAAGCCAGACCGGCTTTGGGATATATTCCCATCCGGAGTTCTCTCTCATCGCGCAAGAATACTCACCTTCTGCTCTGGAAATCGCGTCATGTGAGTCCCGGATGACCAGAGCGAGCGAGCCTCTTTATGATGGTGGATTTGGGTCCGGGTTTGATCGGAATAGCCATGTTGCGAATCGCTTCCACATCCCGAGCTTTCTCGGACCATAGGCAAAGCTCATGAGGCTCACGACTCAACAAGAATCGCAACTGGGAATCTAACCCACTCTTCTTGGGGGATTGAACCCCCCCCCCCCTCCCCCCCTGCCACGTGACCAAATGGTCCCAGAAACTTCCCCGACCCGACCACTCACTCCCAATGCCACACACACACGTGAGATGTTCTGCCGCACGTTGCTGCAATGCGATGATGTCCCGACAATAGAAGCAGCGATCGGGATAATATATGATACGTATACGGATACAGCTCTTCGGGCCATGACCCGAGATCTCGATCTGCGACAACAGCCACGAGGGCCCGGTTCCCAGGACATCGCGATTCGACCAACCCGAGATCTCTCATCTGGGTATACAGTAGGTACCTAGGTAGGTGAACCATCTCGAACCTAGCCAGCAACCTGTCTCTCCCACGCATCTATCACTCACTACCTATCCCTCTTCCAAATCTCCTCTCCCTACGTATATATGTAGATCCGTATATATACCTCCAAGATCATCGCAATTGTGACGTTCCCCTTCCCTTCCCTTCCCTTCCCTTCCCTTCCCTCTCCTTCACCTAATCCCATCTAAATTCCCTATTCGTAATTCCCCATTCCCACTTCCCCATTCCCAAACCCAGTAACCAAGCCGTCGTCACAAGCCCCCAGCCATCCAAGCCATCACGCTCCCCCTCCCCCACCCCGTCCCCGTCCCCGTCCCACCCCACCCAGCCAGCAACCGCCCACCGCCCACCTGCTCTAACCCGCCCAGACCCAACAGCAAACATACGTACCTAGTAACCTTGAAGAGAAAAGGCAGCCGGCCTACGCCATCATCCTACCGGTACTCCACACCCAAGCTGCGCCACGCCATTCGCTCGCCCCAAACCAAGCAAAGCTAAACCAAGCCGCGAACGGTTGAGCCGCGTCATACATACCTACCTACCTACCTACATACCTATTGTATCTACTTATTGTATCTCTTGTACAGTATTATCCTGCAGTGCGCCTCTGTACCCGTACCCGTAACCGTAACGGGGCAGCAGCAGCTGAGCAAGCAAGCATACATAAGTACCTACCTACCTAGCATAGCACAGCACAGCACAGCACAGCACGCCGTCCAATCCCATCCTGCGAATCTATATATTGAAATCTATCAATCGGTTTTGTTACTTACTTACTTACTTACCTTAAAGGGGAATGCAAGAGCATTTAGACGGTCAGCTGATCGTCCGATAACCATCTCTTTAGAGGCCGATTTTAACAGGTTAGTATAGCTAGCGGATCATCTTAGGTCTAATCGTCGCTTTCCTTAAATCCAATTCGAAAGGATTGACCGACTTGCTATAGCAAGTCGGCACCACCAAGGCGGCACAGTAAACTTCGCTCCTCTATAATGAATAGAAAATCAACCAACCATTATATCGTAATTATTCTGGTCTCGAAAGATGCACCGTATCGTGTTTGACATCGACCAATCAATCGAATTCCAATCACCAGTTCTGATTCCTCTATTGTGTCAAGTTGAAAGTACTAAAAATAATACTGTTGATATTTTTTTCGTATTTTTTTTTTCTTTTTTTTTTTTTCGATTTTACTCATGAGTAAGGTATATATCAGAATTGCCGCGGATATATTAGAATAAGCGAGGAACACGAAACGAACATCGGACTTTTATTCAAACCTACCTTACCTATCAAAAGAAATACGTGCACTACTCTCAATTTCTATTTAATCATTATTTATCACTTTCACTAAATATCATGGACTAAATCATTTGTTTTCGATCTATGTAACGTTTTTTTTGTTGTACTTTTTTTTTTTTCACTTTTTTTTTTCTTCAATTAAAGTGGTACCTACCTAGTTATCAAGATATCCGCAACAAACAAGTGAATTCGAATTAGGTATGTAGGACAGTTTTTTTTTAGCGATATTTCCATTTCATTCTCATCTACCGGTACTATATCCTCAAAAAGAGATGCATTTTTATATTTCTAATCTACACTTGGAGAGCGGAGTGTTTGAAGCGTGCAGAATATTTCCTAGTTTTTATTTAGATGGATAATTGTGGTTTGATGAGTGGTATACCGTTCCTGTCCCGCCTTGGTGGTTGCGCCAGGTCGGGATTTTTGACAGATGAAATTCAAGGTAACCGACGATTACATAGATCCAAACCCGGGATCTGCTCCCTTTTTACTTCGTAGATAGAAAAAAAATAAATCGTCTGTCCCTTTTTTAAATTTTTAAATCTTTTTCCCTTTTTCATTTTTTCTCT